TTGGGTTAAGATTGTTGAGTTGAAACTGCGTAAAAACTCAAGTTGTTTGTGTAAGGTTGTTAGGTTGATCATGTGCAAAAGCTCGAGTTTTTTAAGGTTGTTGGGTTGATCCTATATAAAAGGTCAAGTTGGTTTTAGTGGAAATCTCAAGAGGAAACTCTTGGAGACTAGAGTAGGTCACATGATTTAAGGTTGAATTAGGATAATCTATGGAGTGATCTTTCTTACACTATCTCTTTATATTCATGTATTTTTATCTTTTCTATTATTTAATTTTTCAGCTGCGTATTCTTTGCTAATCTTTACTTATAATATAGATATATGAAGAAAAAAACTAAAACTCGAATATTAAAATTCACCACTCTTGTATTGGAGTCACTTGTTCAACAAGTGGTATCATAACATAATTCATGTTATAAGACTAATTGTCTAAAGAGACTGGATGGTGACTTCAAATATCTCTCTTAATAAAACTCTTTCTGTAAATAAACTCCGACTATTTAATGGTGAATGGTTTACCATAAAGGAAACAAGAATAAAAATGTTTTCAGATTCTATTGATATTGATTTGTGGGATTATGCTTTAGATGATTTGTTTGTTCCTACTCATTCCATTAATAATAAAGTAATTAACAAATTGAGAAATTTATGGACCATAGAAGAAAAAGAAAAAGTGCAAAAAAGTTTTAAAGTTATGTACTTTATGATAAATGCATTAAGCATTATAGAGTATAATTATGTTTCTAACTATAACATTGCTTTAAAAAGTGTGGGAGAATCTTGAAATGATCTATAAAAGGTCTACTGAGATCAAAAAGAAAATAATGGACACACTAAACGAAAATTAGAGATACCAAATTAAAATGAAGCAAATATTCAAATATGGTACTTGAGTGTTAAAATGATTGGCAATATCTTCATTAACTGTATCTCTAACAAATATCTAAGATTTAAGGATCGGTGTTGGAAACCTAAACCATTACTAAAATTCGAAGATATGTTAATAAATTGTAGAAAATTTCAAACGAGGTAAAGATTATCAAGAATATAAAAGAATAAAAATCAATAAAAATACTTCAAAATGAGATCACGGAGGAAAATTCAATTTCATCTGAAGAATCAAGTGAAAAGATATGTTTTTTTCTTATGGCTAATTACAAAGATAATGATGGGGTAACCACTCTTTCCTATAAACAAATGTATTATCTAAGTGTTAAAGTTTTTTCAAAGAAAACACTGAGTTAGAAAAAAAAGTATTTTGACATATAAGAATCATGATAAATCTCTGAAAGATGATAATGAAATAATCATTGATGAATTGAATCACTTAAAAAATATGTCATGAATTATGTTAAATGTAAAACTTGTGATTCCTTAAAAATTGAGATCAAATATTTGCATGAAACCTAAGCAATTTTACCAAAGGTGGAGAAGTTTATGTCATGAGTCTATGCTAATAATTTCAATAATATCTTAAATGTGAATAAATCCTCTAAGTATGATTTGATTAATTGTAATTATTGCAATAGAAATGACCATGTTACTTTATTATGTTTTGTTAAAAAGATCCTTGAAAGTAATAACACTTATTATTCATTAACGCAAAAGGACCCAACAAGATTTGATTTGGATACCTAAAATAAAGACTTAGCTTTCTTTTTAATAAATGTTTAGCACCACCACAAGCTAATTGTAAAATAATAAAAAGTTGTATATATATTAAAATTATTTGTGCTTATAAGGAGATATGATTTGAATTTTAAAATCTTCGGGGGGGAATAACATCTTAGTAAAGAAGAAATTGATTTTAGAATTGTCTCTATGTCAAATGATACAAATAGCTTCAAAAGAAACAAAATAGAATTGATTTATTTTTTTATGGTAAAAAGTAAGTCACTTGTTAGACAATAAATACGAGAAACTCTTCCGTAGGACTACTCTAACACCCCACTTTCCAAAACAAATAAAATATAAACATTATAAATAAACATCAGAGTTTTCACCTCCCAAGTGGGATATCACATCACCAAAATCCAACATACTCTTCATTCGAAGGTTTTCACAACCAAACAGCGGAAAAATGTTCATTAATAAAATACATCAAAGTCACAATACGTCACAGGAAAATAAAACAAGTTCAACATAAAACAACTAAACGCCCAAGTCATGTGCTACGTATCAGAGCATTCTAAGACTCGACTTGCACACCACAATCCAAGCTAGCTAAGTACCTGGATTATCTGTACTTCCGAGGAAGCACAGACCACAACAACAACAAAGGAGTGAGAAAACATGATCAAAATATATTGGTAAATACATACATGATATAAAGGTAGTAAATACACCAATCACATAGTTTATCACCCAACATTCAACAGGCACGACATATAGTCCACCATCCACACAATACACCATAATGCAATTATGCAACGCGACACCATGCATGCGGTACCGACTCATTGGTTCATTCTATGGAACCCGAATAGATCACATACACCCGCCCTTGGTCATGATTCATCCTCACTATCCCCCACTCAAAGGAATACGAATGAATCACATACACTCCCCTGAGCAATGACTCATCCCGCCACTACACCATGATATGCATAACACCAAATGCATACAAATTAACACAAGCATACATTGTGCATATGATTCTCAAATCACACCACCATACATCACATATACATAGATATGTCATACACCAATCAATCAGACACTTACATAGAGTATTAAGGAATTCACTTCCTATTACCAAATACACACTCTTCATCATTCAATCACCATCCTACACTTATAATGATCAAAGGGATCCTACAAGGCTAATCACAAGGCAAAATAGTACCAAAAACCACATTCTGCTCTCACGTTCGCTGGTTCATTCGCCAAGCGAAGCCCCGCGACGAATGCTCGTTGTGGCTCGCCAGACGAACCTGCTCGCGAAGCCCCTCTCAACTATCGTGCATTCGCCAGGCGAAGGGATCATTCTCCAGGCGAAGCTTCGCTGGGCACACTCGCCAGACGAACTTTATACCCTTTTGGTCTAGAAGTTTATTTGGAATTACTCGTCACTGCTCGTTAACATTCGTCAGGCGAACCTTCGCCAACACTCGCCAGGCGAAACCCAACGAATGCTACGATACCCCAAAATCCTCATCGATTGCTCCCTAATTTCCACTACAGAAACAACCTTCAGGTATACCTCCAATACCTCTGAAGTCACCCAGAACTTCACTAAAACCGTAACCTCAGCCTATACCCCCAAATTCAAAAATATCAACAACAATTCATCAAAATCAAGCATTAATTTATCATTATCAACAACAATTACAAGCATGCCAATATACAACTTCATACATCGACAAATCCCTACGGGGTTAAGGAATCCCCTCTACCCAATTCATGTATATACCATCCCAATCAGTTTCTCCCCCCTTACCTCGATAATTGTTCCAATTGGTGAAGAATTCCTCCAAAGTTGGACAGTTCTGACCTTCTCTCTTCCTCTCTGTTCTTCGCTCTTCTCCTTTCTCTCAATTCTCTTCTCACGGTTCTATCGTGACTTTTTTACTTTCCTCTCTCTCTAACTCCCTATTATCTCCCCAACTCCCCTTCTATATTCTTAATCCCAATATTAATAATATAATTACTAATAATAATAATAATAATAATAATAATAATAATAATAATAATATTACCATCAATACTAATAATAATAATAATAATAATAATAATAATAATAATAATAATAATAATAATAATAATAATAATAATAATAATACCACCAATATTACTATTTATTATTAAATTATTATATTATTATATCAACTCCACATTTATCAAATAATCCTTATAAATCAAGGATACCCACCAACATACTCCATCACACACCTAAGGACACACCAAAATACAATAATTAAAATAACACCAAATGATTAAATAATTAAAATGGGTGTTACAACTACCATTTACAAGAACGGACATATAATTCGTAAAAACTCCTCCATCCATCCACCTCGACCATCTCGGCCCAAATCCCATGGAAGATAACATATGCTTCAAGAAAGATCAATTAACACAATCGCAAGCCTTAGAGAAATCGACCTTAATCATTACATAACTTCTCTTCTTCTTGTTTGCTAGATCAATTATTTCATTTAGGACCAACACCCCCTCAAATAATTGTCTACCCGGTATAAACGCCGTTTGAGACTTAGAAATCAGCTTTCCAATGACAAACCTTAATCTTGAAGCCAACATTTTCGACAATACTTTATAAACGCAACAAATAAGACATATAGGCTTATATTCGTTAAGAGACCTTGGACAATCAGATTTAAGAAACAACGCGAGGAATGATGAAGTCAATGCTTTAGAAAACTTTGTTGTAAAGTAAAATTTTTGGATGCACCATACAAAATCAACACGAACCATTTCCCAACATTTTTGTAAGAGTCCCAAATTAAAACCATCCAGATCTGGCCTTCGATTGCCAGCACAACTGAATATGACTTTCTTTATTTCCTCCTCATCGAACCAACCTTCCAATCTTAGTCTATCCTCATAAGATAACCTATCCGAACCATGAGCATTAAGAGATGGTCTAGTTTCAAGGGAATGACAAAACATACCTTTAAAAGGGTTGTTTATGGTATGTTTGACAGTAGAAACTTCCTCCACAACATGCATGGGTGCTTCACTTTATAATTTTTTTTTGTTAGTTTTCATAATTATTATTTTATTTTAATTACATTTATGAACTTAATTTTATGAGGATTGTATTTGTATTTGATAGTAAACTATCTAACATTTAGAATGTGTTGTATGCATTTATTTAATTCCATGATATATGGATTTGTATTTGATGATGATGAGAATTTTTTGTTTTTGTTTTAATTAAATAGTATGAGTACGTAACTAATCTTATCCATCCATTAGATCCAACGGTAGAAAACCACGTGTACATGGAGGCTCATATTTTTGGTAGACTATGATATGCGATGAGTCGTTGCAGAAGGTGTTCCCCAACTTCATTCACCGTTCGTGCTTACGGTTCTTCGTCTCTCTCACCCACCAGGTAAGACCGTCTCTCTCTTTCATTGCTTCAGATCTATGATTCCCATGGCTATCCAAAGCCTTTTTCAGATTTGATGTGCCTTTTATTTTTTCCATCGATTTCTTTTCTGTTAACACCATCAAATACAACAAATTCTGAGGGAATTAATCACTTATATTCAATCTCTTGGTTATTGGTATGGCCGTGTTTGGATTTGGATAAAAAGCTTAATCAAGGTTTATACTAATAACGCTTTTCATTTTAATGCTTTTATGAAAAATGATGTTTTCGTAACAAAACTTAATTTGCTTTTGATTTTGTTTTTATATAAGTTATAAGCCTTTTCCGTTAGTTATAAGGAAGTGCTTGTGGAAACTAGCAGAAAATAGTTCATAAATATATCATGAGTTGTTATGATAAAGTCTCACATACCTTATTACAATCTCTGAATCAATACAATTCTAGTTTAACTCACTCCACCGTTTAGGAAAATAACTTATGACTTGTAAATTCTAGTTTCTAAATTTGTTCATTTTTATCGAATGTTAACAGTTCTAATTCTGTTAAAGGAATGGACCGTTTAAGTTGCAAATTGGAATTATATTCTGAAGAAAAAGAGATGGATTGAACCAACTTTGTAATACTAGTGCCATGAAGGGAGGAGGATATATTCATATGGCTAGATAGTGTTATCATATTGCGGCGCCATGGCTGCTATGGCAGATATACATGGCGGTTATTGGGCTCGCCACGATGGTAAATATCGGCTGATATTGCGGGTTTTTCTGCCTAATCCGTTATAACGGTGGCGCAAAGCGACCGGTATGGAGAGATTTTGGCTCTCCGCCATAGACCGCCATCTGCCATCGACAACATTGGGCTAGAGCCTAGAATGGATTTGCTTTGGATATGTCAAAATTGGCCGCAGTATAGTTTTTACATCTAGTTATTGGTTATCCAATAGAGGCTTGGCGATCATAGTTGCTATGCATTCATTTTGTAGTTGTGTATTAATGTGTGATCAAATTTGTGAATGACAAATTTATCTACATAGGTATTATTTTTGTAGTTGTATAAAAATGTTTTTGAGTGCATGTTTTGATTCGAGCGACGATGTTTTGGTACAAAAGAACATATATACAATAAACAACAAGATAAAACAGTGAATGCAGCAAACATGCCAATCTTTCTGCATTTGTGAGATTGTAAATTTGGTGCTGCTACTGTAAGTTGGTAGCTAGGAATTTTAATAGCTAGCAGTCTGATACTGTCACTCACTGGAAATATTTTTCCAGCGATTGTGTAAAGCTCATAAACCCGTTTATACATATAAGGTCTTCATATTTGAAGTAAAAAGAAAGAAAAAAAAGATTTTGGGTAATGTGTGATATGCTAAATGTCGGCATATCCCTTACTCGGTGGCCATTTGAGTCCATGCTTTTAATGCGACTGAATTGGGTTAATAATACAACTGGTGACGTGTGATTGCTAAAAAAATATATTAGGGTTTGAGATCCTCCTCCCTTGGATGAAAAGCCATTTTTATTTTTATTTTTATCATGCACTTCATTATCTGTTGATTTCACTCCCGCATGATCCTCTACTTTTGAATTTTGATATTACTAGTTATGCCTTCAGTTGCTTGAGTTATGTTATGCCTTGAGTAATCTTTTGTTTTAGAGGACTTATATGTGTGAAAAAAATTGCATCCAACATTAGTTCACTGCTTTAGGCTATATGTAGAAATCAATTCACCCACAAAACATAAAGACATTGCACACAAACAGTTATGCTTATTTTAAATCTGATGTCTGATGAAAGTGATTTTAATGATCTTTTATTTCGAGAATGCATTTTTTAGCTTTATATTAAAATTATGACCCGAACAATAACATTTTTGCAGTTGTGGAAGTATGAATTGGGTTCAGCGAAAGATCCACCTTTACAATGTGACATTTGGGCTTTATATGCTGGATTGGTGGGAGCGCTGTACTTTTAGTATCCTTTTGTTGCGCTATCTTCTACATGGATTTTGACTTCTTTAGATTTCTTTTGCTTTATAATTTATCCTACAATGCAAAGTTTTGATCATTTGTAGTTTTACTTATATGAGGCTTTCTGTGAAACTGAGATTAATCAATTGTTGGAAACCTCTTTGTTATGTAGTTTCAAGTCAGTCTGAACAACAGTGATTTTAGTTGTCTTTTTGGATGGAAAGACAACTCAAATCATGTTAGAGATTTTTGACGAAAAAGTTGTGTAATTATTTTCTTGGACTCATATGCTATCTTGTTGATTGTGGTACTGGTTTTAAGAGTTCCTTAACTACTGCACAGATATTTTGGTGATTGTACTAATGTGTTTTGTTGTGCGGTACATTACTCAGTTCGTCAAGAGGTAATGTATTTTCGCCCTTCTCATCTGTCTTTTTAATTAGCGACATAAATGTCCTTTCCTTAGCATGTATGTAAGTTTACTGTAGAAATTATTGTTAGTTTCACCTATTTTTTCCCTTATCTAAAGTTAGTCTACTCTTCCAATATCAGGTATGTCTTTTTGTGGTAAGAAGCAAAATCAATTTCATATGGAGAAGCCAATGTAGATCTTTACTTGGAGACTTAAATTAGTTTCATTCGGTGTGTTTGGCATAGATGATTAGGGAAACATATCTTGTAGCAAATTGATATAGACTGACTCGGTGCTTCTTAAAGCTGCCAAAAAAAATTAGCGACCGCGTCTCTGTGATACACAGTCATGAATCTTATTTTAACATTTCTGTACTTATAAGTCTGTGGTACATAGTCATGAATCTTATTTAAACATTTCTGTACTTATAGGCTTGTTTTATGCCTATTGGCGTTCTTTACATTGTAATAATTATTTGAGATGTTCATTTCTAAGTGTTTTGAGCATTTGAAAGTGTGTGTTTCTCCAGTGTGCTAATGAAGGCTTGGTATATTTAATGTTAAATACTATGACTCCTTTACTTAATACTTTTACTTTGATTATTTTATTTATTTTAACTTTGCCATGCTGGTCCTTTCATCTTTCATTTTGTTCCCAAGCATTGATATTTTGAGGACTTTGTTTGAGTATCTGCAATCACTATCTTGATTCTCTAGAAAATGGAAATCAGCTACATGACAATGGCTAACTTGATTTTCCAGAAAATGGAAATCAGCTACTTTAACGTGATGTTTGGTAACACCACAGCCACACGTTTAACGTCTTTTTCACTGTGAGTTTGAGAAGCTGCTATGTGTAGCTTCTATTACACTGTAAGTTTCTACCATGATTTTCAAGTTTTCCAAACACACATTAAGTTGACTAACTTCAATGATGTCACATTTTGCCTTTTTACTTTGGGTTGGTACATTCACTATGGATATATACACACACACATGCTAATAGCTTCAAGGTTGCAGTTTTGAGATCTTTATATCTTACAATCTTTTACACTCTAGGTGTTAGGTCGTAATCTCAGAAGAAGAAGAAAAGAAAAAGGTGTTGTATTACCTGGCGTTGAGTATCTATGTATTTTGTTTCACTTCACTTTAATTATTTTTAAAGAGGTAGGGTCAATAAACTCTCATCCACTTTTTCGTGGTAGATATGAGTCTCCCTTCGAGATTCTAAATCTATTGCCTTCTCGAATTGGTTTGTGGATGGTCTTAGGCATAAGGTGAGATATGGTATGCTCACTTGCTTTTAGAATGACCCTTGGGTGAAGCCCATCCCTATGAGTTTCTTTTGATAGGTTATTCTCGATCTCTAATTAGAAAAGAGGTAAGGTGTGTGATATCGATACGGTAGAGATGACAATTTGGCTCATATTCACTTAGTACCCGGAAAAAATGTCTATAATGGATAGGGTAAAAATCCACAAAATGGGCTCGGACATGAGTACGGGTACGGATAAATACCTACTAAAAAAAGCCGGTATGAGTGTGGGTACGGGTACCTTAATACTCAATCCGCCTCATACCCGCACAATCATATTTATTATCATTTATATTATTATATAAAAATGCATGTCTATCAATTTTTTAACAAAAAATACCACTATAAAGTGTCACACATTTTAATATAAGTATTTGTTTATTATAATTCAACAATAAAATCTTTGAGTTTTTTTAAATGTTACCTTAAAATATTTGATATTTCATAATTTATCGGTTTATTTTTACTAGAAATGCGGGTAACGGGTATGAGTATGGGTACTTAGGTACCTACAGGGTACGAGTACGAGTACATACATTGACGCAAACGCGGGTGTGGACTCGGGTATGAATTTTTTTTTAAACTCGGGTATGATTTTTTTTTAAACTCGGATATCGGGACGGGTACTATAGTACCTTGTCCAAACCCTACTCATTGTCACCCCTAGATGTTTGTGAAGATGTAGTCATGGTTTGAAATTTTCGCTGGATAAGACCTTTATTTGACTATGAACAGGATTTAGTGGACGACCTTAGTAACATCGTTCAAAGTGTTACTCTCTCGCTAGAAAGAGATCGTTGTTGTTGGTCGTCGGGCGATAATAGTATCTATATTGTTCCCTCTGCCTACTGCAATCTATCTGAGTCGCATGCTTCTACTTCTTCCTTATCATTTATCTTAGGTTGTTCTTTAACTTCTATTTGGGGTAGCTGAGCTCCTTCAAAAGTGGTGGTCTTTTCTTGGTAACTTCATTAGAATAAGATCCTGACTAGGGAGAACTTTCATATAAGGTAGGTTATTTTATATAGAATTTTTAATTTCATTATTCATTTCAGTTATAAATTTTGCATTGATTGAACATTTGTTAGTTAGATAGAGTGAGCAACTGGCTGCATTTATAAAGGCAACCATTTTACATGTTGTAGCAAATGAGATACATCCCAAGCTAACACATGTCAGACTTTACAATTATAATAGTTCTAAACTAACTATCCTAGCATACCTCTAATAACCCCCCCCCCCCTCCCCCCCAACTCATGGGGAGTGAACAACCTTGAATTTGTGTCTTGGTTCAAGAAATTTAACAGATGCAGAGGCTTTGTATGCACATCTATCAGTTGACCAGTGTCAGGAATGTGCACAACTTGGAGTTGCTTTGCCATGACCTTATCTGTGACAAAGAACAAATCAATCACTATGTGATTTGTTCTTGAGTGCATAATAGGGTTTTGAGCAAGCATTACAATTGACTTATTGTCACAGAGGATGATAGGTGGCTTAGTGACAATGTGTAACTCTAGAAGGAGAGTTTGAACCCAAAGTAAATCAACAGTTTCCTGAGATAAACTCTTGTACTTTGCTTCAGTACTGGACATGGCTATAAAAATTTGATTTTTGGATCGATTGGTGTCAAACTAAATGGTTGCCCTATATGTACTTCTTTTGTCATCTGGATCAGAAGCCCAATCAGCATCACAACAGACTTGCAAGGATGGAGATAAAGTAGTTGAAAGAGGGGAGAGATTCAAGTTGTGCCCAATGGTACCTTTGAGGTACCGTAGAATTCTTTTCACTGCAACCCAATGAGTTTCAAGAGGATGTGACATGAATTGTCACACTTGGTTGACTGCACAGACAATGTCAGGTCTAATAATAGTTACATACTGCAAGGCACCTACAATTGACCTGTAAAGAAAGGATCGGGTAAAGCAACAAAGTATGTTTTAGTTAACATGCAAGTGGATTGCATAGGAGTGTTAATAGGACAAGATTCAGTCATGTTAATTTTTTGAATAAGGTCCCTGATATATTTGGGTTTACTGAGAAAGAGAGAGCAATGAGAAGCTTGTTTGACCTCAATACTTAGAAAATAGTTAAGATCACCAAGATACTAGAGTGAGAAGGCAAGATTCAACTTAATGATAATATATTTGAGTAAGGCCTTGAAACTACCATTTAGGATTATGTCATCCACATAAACTAGGAGATAGATGGTTTTACCATTGAAGAAGTATGTGAAGAGAGATGAATCTCACTTTATTTCCTTGAATTGAAGGTTGAGTAAGGCAACTTTATGTCTCTCGAACCACTATAGAAGGTTGCATGACATGGTTACAAGTGACGGTAAATTTGAATAAAATAAACTCTTGAACAACCAAGAGGGAAAAAACAGAAAATCTTGGATTTTAAACCAAGAGAAAAAAATAGAAAAAGTTAAGATTTTAAACCATGTTCTGATATCAACTTAAATATGAATTTCTTATTATATTATATATAAAGCGCGCACACGCACACAAGCACGCGCACACGTACACACACACAGAGAGAGAGAGAGAGAGAGAGAGAGAGAGAGAGAGAGAGAGAGAGAGAGAGAGAGAGAGAGAGAGAGAGAGAGAGAGAGAGAGAGAGAGAGATCCAAGTGTCAGACTTTAGAAGGCCTAATATGCTTCTTACCATAATTTTTCTAATAAGGGGCTTTATAAAATTCAAAGTTATCTTTGTAGGGTTGTTTCTTATGATAATGGAAGTTTTTATTACTTTTAATAATAGCCTTTTCATTCTTAGGGTTACTAGGAGCTCTTAAAGGAGTAGCTCCTAGTAAAATTCAGAGTTATCTTTGTAAGGTTGTTTCTTATTATAACAAAACTTTTTCTTATTTTTAATAGCAACCTTTTTATTCTTAGGGTTATTAGGAGCTCTTAAAAGAGTAGATCCAATTGTTCTCAAAATGAACCATTTCGCGCTTATTACTCATTTTTTTCATTTTTAATCTTATTTTAAAGTTTGTAGTCGGTACAAATTTGTATACTAGTTTTAATAACATAATTGGATAATTCACCCACAGTTAAGGACTGATAAGGAATAATCTCGTTAAAATTTTGTTTAATATTTGTCTTAACCTTCTCGGAAAATAATCTGGGTAAACCATTAATAAATATTTCTTTCAAATAATCAGCAGCACCATTTGACATAAGACAGAGTTTAGAAAGAAACATATCTATACCACATATAATCAGACATGGTTGGACAGTAAAGATTTAGTAATTGGTCTGATACTCTTTGTTGGAGCTTTAGAGGTTATCCTACAAAAAACTTTGTAATAGCGTACAAGAGAGTTGTACAAAAATAGACTCATTGGATTCTGTTTTAACAACTAAGTTAATTTGGGTTTTGTCTTCGGGACTAAGGAGATTACCCCACCATCCTTTTAATTGTCCTGTAAATTGAATAACTAATATATCTTTGGTATGCTTGTCTGTGTTTTCTTTGAGTTTAAAGGTTGTAGCAGCCATAATCATATATTCTATGATATTTAACACTTGTTATTCATAAGCACCATCGATGTTCCATTCTATAATGGATTCTCCTGAATAACTATTTTCAACTAAACTACTTCTTTCTTCAAATTGCACATCAGCAAATGACGGTCTAGGATAGTAATTTTTGGGTTTTAGGCTTTGGGACTCTTCCACCTAATTTACTCGCCAAATTATCAAATTCTTTTTCCCGAGATAAAGTATTTATCTCTCTTAACGAATTTCCCATATTTAAGGTCCTCAATTTTTCAATTAATTCTTCTATCTTATGGTTAACATCACGACCTAAACTCATACCCTTTAGCTCTTGGGTAGAAGGAGTATGGTAATAATATATATGTTGAGTATAGTCTATTTTAAAATTTTTAACATCCTTAGGTTGAGGGACAAAGTTTTCTATTTTATTTAATTGTTGGAAAACAATGTGAAATATTTGATTTGAGTAATTCATCTAACTATGCAGATTATTTATGTCTTTTCTCTATTCTATAGGATTGGTAATTGATTTAAAGGGAGAAACCTTTATTTTTATGCTTTCTTTGAAAGGGATAATTTTTATGGCTTCTAAAAGTGGATGGATGGATTCTATTATATCTTTTTTAACAGTCTTCTATTTAGTATTAATTTTTACATTAGTATCTAAGTACACCTTAATAGCAAAAAGATTTTGTATCTCTTCTTATAAGCAAAGATTCAAACCAAGTAAAGAAATAAACATTAATCTCATGATTTTCTAAAAATTTATAAAACTTTTATAAATACATTTGAGTATGATTTTTAGAGAAAGATGAGAAATACCAATTTCTCTTCTTTGAATTATACTTAGCCTAAAAAATTGGCTCTAATCCAGACTTTGTCAATGACAAAGAGATCTTCTTTGTTAATAACTCCTAAGGTTTGAGACTTAGTTGGAGACGGTGACCTAGAAGTCTTCTCCAGGTAAATTGGTCGGAGAATTCTAGGAGCAAAGTTTACTCCTGCAAGGTTAACCCTAATGATTGAATGAACAAAATGTCTAGCACTGGATGTCGATCCAATGCTACTAGGCTGATTATAACGAAGGATTGACTCGTATCCGTTCGAATCCTGATTGATCCATCAATATCCTTAATAACATCTTTAATAGATCTGACTTCAATCTTTTCAGATTTAACCTCATCTTGCAAAATCCTTTCTTGAGAAAATTTGTCAATAATATAAGAAGCAGTAAGAATCTTCGGGATCATAACATTAGATCTGCTAAGATTGACTTCAATAATACATGTTTCATTTCCATGAGTAGTTTTAAGATATTTAAAATTGTAATTAATTAGAAACTTTGTAAGTAATTCTACTAATAATGTTTATGTTGACAACTCCGGAATTAAAGGTGTCATTTAGGCTTTGAACGTATATGACTAACGAGTTTTTAGAAAATTCATCAATTAAACTCATAGAGTAATTAGGAAGGCAGTTAAAGTAAACTGGACCATCATTAACGTTAGATTCAATTATAACAATAATTGAGTTATGAAAATCTTTAATATGAGTATCACGAAGAACTAACAGAATACAGATGTCTAGCCCTAATTTATGTAAAGACTTTATAGCTATTTGGATTAATCCTAGATGGATATAACAATATTCTTCTTTAACATGATTTTCTAACAGCTTTCTGTTTAAAAAATTAATGGTTTCGTGTTTATTACATATAAATGTGGCAGATTTCATATTATGAATAATATTGACTATAAAATCAAACGTGCTAATTTTACAAATTTCTTTTAATTTAATTTCCGGCATAAACCAGTTGACTAATCTATTTTCCATTTCTTGAATTTATAGTTCGTGATTTTAAAAAATATCTTAATCTAATTCAAATTTATTATTATTTAAGATAGCAGAAACTAATGTTCGATTACTAATATTATTACTAAAGAGTAAAATTTTCAACAACTATCTATTATGAAATTGATTTTTATAAATTTTTCAACAACTTTTTTCTATTATGAAATTGGTTATTTCTCAGTTTTTTTACTTACTTTCTATCTTCTCCCTCTATTGGTTGTTTTCCTAATGACAACTACAGTGTTCTAAACTAATTGTTATTTCTCAACTTTTTTCTAATATGAAATTGGTTATTACTAAAGAGTAAAATTTTCAACAACTATCTATTATGAAATTGATTTTTATAAATTTTTCAACAACTTTTTTCTATTATGAAATTGGTCATTTCTCAGTTTTTTTACTTACTTTCTATCTTCTCCCTCTATTGGTTGTTTTCCTAATGACAACTACAGTGTTCTAAACTAATTGTTATTTCTCAACTTTTTTACTTACCCTCTATTGGTTGTTTTCCTATTGACAACTACAGTGTTCTAATAACATTTTTTTTAAACAACATTCTTTTTTAAAAAAAATTGATAAGAAAGCAAGTAATTACCTCATTGTCTATGTTGGAAAAAAAAAAACTGATAAGAAAGTAAGTAATTACCTTTTAGCAACTCCAAAATTAAAGGTGTCACTTAGACCATCTTCAACGGTGGTTCTTCAAATTGGTTTGCCAACTTGACATTGAAATTGTCACTTCAAATTGGTTTGCCAACTTGGCATTGAAATTGTCAACAGACGTTCCTTGCATAAGCAATGGTTCTTCATTTTTTTTATTATTAAAATAATAATTTAACTTATTGGTTTTATTTTTTTTATAACTTTTTTTATTTATTATAAATATAAGTTTGTTGCAAAAATTTATAACAATTTTATTTTCTCTCACTTTTATTTACTCTTTAATTTTAAATTTCTCTCTCGTAATTTTATCATTTTATTCATAAATTATTATTTTCAATTTTATGTTTAATTTTAATTTTATGTTTAGTTTATATTTATAGTAATTCAAATTTAAATATTTAAATTATAATTTTAAATAAAATAAATTTAATATAAATAATATATTTAAATAAAGTAGTGAGACCCAATATGGGTTCTTTAAAATTGCACCATTGAAGTGAAAATTGAATAAGTTATTTTAGAAAAGTGGGTCCCACAAAAAAACCTAAAAATAAGTTGCACGTGCTCTTAGAACTTAAACATATATGACTAATGAATTTTTAGTGAACTCATTGGTTAAACTCACAAAGTAATTGGGATGACAATTAGAGTAAACTATCCCATCAGTAAGGTTAGATTCAACTATAACAAATTGCAAAAATCTTTAATACGAGTATTACAAACAACTAACAAAATAGGATATAATGTGTGTGTGTTTTTTTTACAAACATCAGATTCCATCTTAAACAAGTTTGTCACAACAAACAAATATAGTGGATCTAACCAAAAATAATGGATGAAGCTACTGCCACCAAACACTAATACCATTGTGAGTGGATTATAGAGAAATAGTAACTATATAAATTCTATTATTATAAGATGCATATTAGCCAATCCTATACACGAAGTTTCATGTCATAAAAAATGTTTTAGAAAAGCTATACAAGATTAAAGATATAGATGAGGAAAACTGAACCATCTAGGCGTGAGAGACATCAACAAAAAGATATCCACTACACTTCTTGATTCACACCATAAAAAACCCGGGACCTTCATTCAGACCTGGGTCAATGTTGTTGAGCCAGAAGATTCTATCTTGAAAACTTCCAAGTTAGCAGTAGCAGCAGCAGATAAGTTATAAATCTCTAGAGTTCGATACTCTTCGCAGTTTGTGGAGCCATTTTTGCTGAAAAATGCAACAAGGGTATTCATCATCCTACTCACAGTTGACTGAAATTCTTTTTGGTTCTTGGCAGAAGCATTGACACTTCGACTATTTGGTGCTGGAGCATTATGTAAAACTGATCCAACGGGTCCCCCCTCAGCATATGACCTACATGCTTTCAGTATGTCCACGCCCCTTTGACGGAAATGCCCCGCAACGAAGTCCTCAAAGTGCTGCTTATGAAAGAAATATTTAGATATTTATAAATATAATATATAACATATAAAGTTAAGACATTTCTTTGCAATCAGAAAACATGAAACCTAAATTCAACAACCAAGCTCACAAACCAAAGCAAAGAGAGTAAACGATTAACTATATCTGAGAGAATCAATAGAACGAATTTCACATTAATTTGATCACTTTGATAAAAATGTGAGCGTTATGGTACAATGGTACCTCAATGATTTTTTTATAGTTGTAAAATAGTCCATAGTGTCATTTTATTTAATAATAATTGAAACAATTTTGGCAACACCACAAACTTCACAGTAAGATCATATAGGGCCACAGTAGACAGCCATTACTTGTTCTCTTTTATTATTCTTATCGATGTTAGACAAGTCCAAACAAGAGAAAGGGACAAACTGGCAAAGCCATCTGTCAGCTAACCAAACAATGAAATTCAGTCAGGGACTATGATTTATACTGCTGCTGTCCCTATTTATAAGCTGATAGGACCCATTCAGAGAAAGGTCCAAATGGAGAGGGGAGTGCTGGCTGACCCGTTAGTTGGAGAGAGTGAGAGAAAATACATGTGAGGGGGAGTATATGAGGTGTATCAGAGGGAAAAAGGGAGTCAGTTAGTCTTTGATATAGTTTTTGGCTTTGAGCTTGGGCAGAGAATATCCTAAATTCCTGAGGTACTTTGGGGTTGCGGGAGATATCCTCTTGTAATACTTTTCACTATCTTTCAATCAATAATACAGTATTTCCTTTCTGAGTTTAAGTTCCTATCAATTGGTCCAACCTGTTGAATTCGAGAGGAGAAATCAGTGTTACAGGAGATGAAGGAGATGTGGGCTAAGGTAGAGTTATCAGATTTTACTGAGACAGATCCTGTTGTATGGATCGTGAGGGCTGAAGTGTCCTTTAAGGAGAATGAAATTCGTCTGTCATAATCTGCAGAGTGGGCTTTCATAAGCATGGAGGGTCAAGAATAACTTGATGCAGCCTAGCACTCATTTGTTTTGGTAGGATCGTACGATCTTTCTTATGATCTTATGTTTTACGATCTTGTTACCCCCTCCCGTCTTTTCTTATGATCTTATGTTTTAAGATGTTGTTACACCCCCTCCTGATGTTATGCAAAATTTTGATCATGAAAAACTTTCCATATGTGGTGGTTATGGAGTCACCAGGACGGGAACGAACAACCACATATCGTTCTTGCAAAGTTTACTTGCGGGTATGGAAGAAGGGCGCAATGGAAATTTGAAGAGGTTGGTGTACATTTAAACCTAATGGGCCAGACCCAAGTTAGTGTTGGTTTGATCTGTGAGATATTTCCCATTTGGGCTGGATTAGAACAAATAGACTGGGCCCAAGACACCAATAACATCTGGGTTGAGGACAAAGGTAACTCAAATTACTAATTCAAGGACTCATACTATAGGACCTGAATCAAGAGAAACTGGGGTCAAATCCGACCCAAGTCTGTGTAGGCTCGTCGTTGCAGCCATGAACTACAAACATGTCTCTCCTGCCGCCACAGTCTCCCCTTCGTGCACCGTCATTACTGAAAACTCCTCCAGTCGATTCACTGATCTCACCACGAGCCCCTGTGGTGTTTGTCCTCCGCAAGCTCTTCTGCGGTGTGAGTCGCCTGCGGCAAGCCCATCCAGTGGACGCATCATTTGTTCTGCAACCCCTGTTTGATGATCTCGACCCTGTGGTGTTTGTCCTCCGCAAGCTCTTTTGTTGTGTGAGTCGCCTGCTGTGCGCCCATCCAGTGGACGCATCGTTTGTTCTGCAAACTCTGATGATCTCGAGGATAAAGAAGAGTCTATCAACAACTTCCCATTCATTGTGTATTCAGATCCTCAAGTAATAACACTTGCGGACGTTATTGGGGATATCGGGAGTGAATCTCAGCTAGGAGAAACAAATCTCATTGGGCTCAATCCAACACAAGGAAAAAGTGTTTGAATCTCAAGGGTGGAGTCACATGATTTGCTGCTTACACAATGATTTAATAATTCCAAAGAAAGCAATTGATTTGTTATGAGTTGTTTCAAGGCTAATCGGGGTGGAATAGAAGTTTCTAAATAATACTCTGAGCATCCTAGTGCAATTCATCACGTTGTCCTTCTAAAGGGTTCTGTAGGAGATTCTAATGGGATTGAAAAGAAAATTTCGATAGCTCGAGAATATATTTCTGGTGTTGGCTATGAAAATGAATATTGAAGTTGTATTTGTGTTGTTGAGTTTGTTTGGAGTCCCACATTGCTTATGTGTCCGGGCTGTTGAATCTGTAAATGTATGAGGGCAACTTTACCTATTGAACTACCTTTTGAGATGAAATACAAGCACATTTAACAATGGAAACTTGGCCTTCATATCATTAATGCTAGCGTATCTTGAGACATATGCTCATGACCAGGGATTGGTAAAAAGTATAAAACCGGTTACTGTGACCCATTACATGCTACACCCAACTTTGGATAGATACAATGTTTTTATATTGGCATATGTCAAAAACCATTCTGGTAAGACACACACACACACTATGGATGGAATAGGCTATGACAGGTCTTTAATGCTTCTTGTTTTGAGGGGCTGTTTGATTTACCCAATGTGAAAAGGATGTCATTGTATTCATCATACAATGGGCCCCATGGAAATCCAATACTTCTATAGTAGTTTACTGATTATGAATACAGCAGGAGAGATTTCCCAACACTACAGCTTGCTTAACTTTGTATATGACAGGACCATCGTAAGTCGCCAAGTTAAGTTTATTTTGCAATCGGCAAATTGCAAATGGAGTTTGGTCCCTAAGCATATGGACATGACTGATGATCATTGTCAGTTCCCTAAACATGTACAATCCTATTTCGTCTCTAACAAACTAATGTTTCTCCTAGCTACAAGAATGCCAATAGAAACCACTCCTCACCTTGAGGACAAGGTTGTTAATAAGAGGGTGGCATTGATAGGGCCAATTAAAAGAAAGGCCCGAATAGTGATAGGGGTGCTGAGCTGGCAATTTAGTTAGAAAGAATGAGAGAAGATACATGTGAGAGGGAGTGCATGAGGTATGTGAGAGAAAAAGGGCAGAGAGAATTCTAAATTCCTTCGAGTATTGTTATGGGGTTGGAGAAGATAACCTCGTGTAATACTTTTAATTATCTTTCAATCAATAATACAGTATTTCCTTTCTTCTAATTTGGATTGCTATTATAAGCACACTCTGGGGAAAAAAATTGTCCCTGAATATAAAGCCCTCTTTCAAACTATTAGATGCATTTATTACCTATTCCCCTAAATAATACTACTAATATGTCTCAGAAGATAAAAAGTCAACAATTAATACATCTATACACAAACCGCAATTTAGTAATACTCATGAAAAAAAATGCACATATTAATCAAACCACCATTTACTAATGAACTTATAAAAAAGGATGGAGAGAGTAATTTTTAAGAAATGATAGTAAAACTACTAAAAAAAAAACTCTCCGCAGATATAGATATTGTTTTAAGGGACAAACCTTTGGCGGTTTACGCAGGGTATACATCATTGTCTTCAAAGATAAAATAAATGTATTATCATTGTAATCCTTAGATCTCCTTTGCCCCTCCTCACTAGAATATGCATCAGCATATCCAGGCTCATTAAAAAAAGGTTTCTCATTCAGAATAAGAGCTTGTATCGAAACCAAGACTTGTAGCATGGTTGATTTATCTGGAATCCAGTTTTCGCTATTCTTACCATGCCAAGTACCCAAGAGACTAAGGCACACTTTTCCACATTGATACAGATTTGGATTTAGCCTTAGGCCACCTGCGTGATAGTGAACTTGCTGCAGAAAATAAGTTGAGTTTATATACACAGAACAATACTCATCTGAAAAAACATGGAACATTAATGATACATACCGGTGGACCTGCAGGGTATGAAGACGGAAATAAACAATCGAAAAAGAAAAGGCCATCATGGTATGGAGTGCCTTGAGGTCCAATGATGACTGCCCTAAGAAGCTCCATTTTAGATTCACAAACTCTCACAAAGATTGTTTCTGTAAAACAAAAAGTAAATTATGAGATACATATTCTAGTAAAGATAATAGAAAAATGAAACTAAATTACCATAAGGTTGAATAACATGTTTCACTACAGACAATGGTAAATGTTTGGATCATAAAAATAAAAATAAAAACATGTTGGATGATGATTCAATTTAACTTCTCTCAAAAAGATTAGGAAATATAAAGCAGAGGAGAAGACCCTTCCAAAGTATATCTAGAAAAAAAAACCATGGCAGTAACACTTGTAGATTAGTTATAATCATTAATATCTCTTGGGGGAAGGAGAGAGAAGATATACTTTACCTGGCAAATTTTCCTCCAAAATTTTCCATTCCTCCTGAATTTTTTTTCCCCAATTCTTTGGTCGCTGTAAGTAACATATAATAGGATCAAGATTCTGTTAAATCAAGGCTTGAAAATATGTGTTGCAGATGCAACTCAGAAAAACTTTTTCAACATATATGTATATCACCTGCGCCTCTGAAACTGAAGCACCTTCCTTATCATAGTGATGATCAGGAAAAGAATCAACAGTATCAAATGGCTTAAATTGACGAAACTTTTGCATGACAGGATCCGTGGATTCATCTACTTTTTCTTTCGAACTGGACTCTGAATGGGCATGGACAACAGCCGGCTTGCATTCGCTAGAAGGAATATCCTTCAACCAAGGTACTGATGCTTCTACCCCAGGAGGTATATCCACATTGTCGAATTGATCCTGCATAAGTGAATAATCATCTTCATAGATGTCTTCATCGTCAAAATAATCAGATATATAATCAGGATCTTCAAGTGCATCATCATCATCATCATCAATCACATCCTCATCATCGTCATGACATGAAATATCAGAATCGGAACCATTTGAATTCTTTGAACTCAGTGATATCGAGGTCAAACTCTTGCAGGGGTCACCACTACCAGATGATTCTCCTACACTCATGGAATTTCCATGATCACTGACCAAAGCATCCTGGCAAAAGAAGAAAACAGATAAAAGTCAAGACCCTCGTAAAGCTTTTAAGATCATGTTATGCATGTGAGATTCATCCTGCAAAGAAAAATCATAATAACTTAAGCGTAATGCTAACATTTTCCCTAAGGGCACATGTTAAGAAACCTACAAATAGAAAGTTTGTATTGAAAACACAATGGAAAAATTAATTACCAACTTTTAATTAAACTAATACACAACTTCCAAAAAAACGTTTCTACATTTAACTCTTAACATGTGCCCTTGTGCCCAAAGGGCACATGTTAGCATTACCCATAATTTAATAGTTTTATTTCTAAACTCCGACCTTATATCAACTTATTCATTGAATGTCATCCTTTTTTTCCAAATATATTACTCTCTATATCCAACCTAAATTATGCCAAAATCAAGCATCTAATAGAATAAAATGCAGGATTAACACAGGAAATGACTCTTGCAGCAATGTGATAATTAGTTAATACTGTTCCCATGAAATTTATAACTTTCAAAATAAGCTCCCAATTTTAAAAATACTCACTCTGTTCCTTTTTAAGTGTCATTTTTTGGATAATTTTTTGTTTCTTTTTAATTGTCACTTGCAAAATTCAAGGTAGTATTAAATGCACTTTTGTCAAAATTACCCCTAGATAATTATTACATAGAAAGAAAAAGTAAAATGAATGTAATAAATAATTAGGGGTATTATAGGTAAAAAGAAAATTATTGTATGAAAAATAACAATATTGATTAGGTTTCATGGTATGCTATATAGTGACATTTTTGATTGTATACTTAGTGTGTATTTGAAACTGCGTCAAAAAGACATTTTACGCGCGACCCAGCATAGCTACTATTCATAGCTTCTTCAATTTTCATGTCAAACAAACATTGGGACGCGAGACAGGCATGCCTATAGGCTATAGGTTATGAGTAATCATTATTTTTTAAATTGGGAGCTTAGTTTGAAAGTTATAAATCTCATGGTAAAAGTATTAAATGCGAATCCAAACAATGGCTTACTAAATTTGAAGTTTGGGGACATTGGAATTTATACTATCACTAATAACATTCAGTAACAGGCATCAATAGATAAGTTCAAAAAAAATTAAAGAGTGGCGCATCACGCATCGGTGATGTGGATAACCCTATTCCTTGAGGTACTAGTAAGTTGAATTAATGTACAGTATCAATTTCCACTATTTTGATAACAAAATTTGTGTTTCTAATTTTTATTATAAAATGCCAAGATAAAATTTTAATGAGATTATAAGAACTATTCAAACCCTAATTCCAATAACCTAACCTAACCTTAAAACACGAAAACTAAATCATAAGAATCAAACCAATAAAACAAGCGAATTCTACAAAAGGGAAGAAGAAAGCACACAAGTTAACGAAATTCAAACGATCAACAAAGAAGATCAACAAAGAAGATCAAGATATCAAAATACGATGAAAATCAAACAAACAAAGCATCAAAGCGTAAAAGTTGACCAATTATAAAACCCTGAAAAATCGTGATTAAGAGAAAAGCAGTTACAAAATCAGAAAAATAAAAAGTGAAAGGAAGGGTTACCTGTTCGTCTTGTTTTCGTTTCTTCATCCCGGAATTGGGAGAATCGGCATGGAGATCCATAGGATGGAAGCAGAGAGAACCCCAACACAACACACACAGACTCTTCCACTCCCAATTCTGAGCTTAATAATCACTTTGTTATAACTTATTAGAATTATATATATAACACTTTTAAATACACCTTTTTATTTATCCTAAAATAATTCAATTGTGATTAATTTATTTATATAAATTGACTATAAGTGAATCAACAACAATCATAGCATAAAAAAGAGTGTAGGTAAAGGGTTTTTTTAAATAAAAATATGTGTAACTAAGTGTACCTAAACATAGTATAAGAATTAATTTAATAAATATTTTAGATATTTAATGAATATGCACATCTTTAAATTTTTAAGATACAAGAGCACTTGGATGAGATTATAAAAATATTTTGAGTTCAATTTTCTTTTTAAAGAGAATTTTGTCATCCATTATAATTCTAAATAAAATATATTTAATTTATATAGAAAAAATACAAGTTTTAAAATATTTAATGTCATGTCTTTATTATTCTAAATGATTAAATATTAAAAAGTCTATTTTCTTATTAATTATTAAATCAAATAGATAAAATAAATTAGTTTTATATAATATAATTCTATATATTTAATTATTAATGCTTCGATAACAATTATGACTGACTCAAAACGAAAATAACGCTAGAATTACCCTAGGAGTTATTTCCACCTACTCTTTTCTTATATGAGGATAAATTAACTCTTTTCTTATATGAGGATAAATTAACTCTTTTTTTCGCTCAATACTCCTCCTCTTCTTAGTAGTATTTGACTATAACGAGTCAAATATCTTTTTTTTCTGTTAAACTAAAAAATATTTCCATTATAAACCAGCAGGACTAAAAAAATATTAGTTGAACCCATAATGGAAACTTTACTTGCTTTGGTCTTGGCTATTGGCGTGACACCCAAGAAATAATGTTTAATGATTTGTGTCTTTTTTAGATTAATTATTATGCATCAACATAATACTGTCACTTAATTATCATCCGTTTATATTATTTTATAGATTATTTTATAGATTATTAAAATATGTTTATATCTAACACTATAATTAATTGACAGGATAAAATATACATTTCAATTAAATCCATTCTTTTTTTTTTCTAATAATTTGTCTCTTTTCTTTTTTTTCTAACGATTTTATTTTGTTTGGCGTTTTATTTTGTGTATTTTTATCACTTTTTGAAAGAGACAAAAATTATTATAGAAGTATAATAATATTTAATTTTGATGTTTAGTTTTTAAAATAAAATTAATTTGTATTTATTTAGAATTAATTACATTACTAAAGTTTATTGATCGATTCGCTTTTATATAAATGTATTTAAATATAAATTATCTTGTCGCTTAACGAGAGGTCATGGTTTTGAATTTATTTATAGGCATTCGACAGTGTTAACTTTTTGGAAAGAAAACTTTGTCACCCATTACGGTTCTACTAAACTCGAGAGATTAGTTTCTACAATTGCACGCAGGGAATACCAATTTTTTCTAATTTAATGAAAACTTATTTTTCTTTTATTTCACCTCTTTCTATACCTAGCAGTATGCTTCTCTACCCATGTGTTAACATGGTATCAGTAGAGATACTCTGATATTATCTCTTTGTTTTCACATTTATGTCTCTTAATTTTTTCACATGTGTTCCAATCATGTTACATGAATCATGTGTCTTCCTCCCACCGATTTCATGAATTCTCCTCTCTTTTTTTTGCTCTCATCATATAAGCAAAAACATTTTTCTTTCTTTCATTTTTCGCTCTTTTTTTTCTTTATCTTCCTATCAATTCTTTCAATTTTCTCTTTCTACAACATTCATAAAAAAACTCTAAAGAACTCATGCAACAAACCCTAAATTGTCTTTATCACATTCATATTTTCTTTGTACAAACCCAACAAATCTTTACAAAAACCCAGAGAAACATCAATACCTTCATAGACTCTTCACCAACACCCAACAAATCATTCATCCTATTCATTTGTTCTTCGCCAAAACCCAACGATCATTCTTTCATTATGTGTTTGCATCAAACCCTATATAATCACCAACAACAACATCCTTTATTCCAAAAATCATTAACCAACCACAATATCTACCCCATTGTCTTCATCAAATCTTCAAATCCCCGAAGAAACCCTAATTTTTTTCAAACTCAAACCCATAAACCATCTTCAAACTCCTGAAATATAGATAAAAGCATAAATATATTATACACTTTTGAGTTTATGACAGAACTAATATTGTAGTTACACATTGCTCAAATACTTGTTGAACTTCTTCCTAAACGACTTCATCTCTATCCACACGGGCAGTCTTCCACAAAACATGGTCCGAAAGAGATGTTGCATCACTTTTCTCCTCTTCTAACTACACATTAAGACATATAATAAGCTTCACTTTTCTCGTATTCTAACTATATCATATTAAATCATTTATATATACTTACTATTTTTTGTTGTAAGCGTGCATATCTCAAACACCCTTTTTTGTATGGATACGCGAGTTTTGATACTCGTTGCCGATTTACGTCACTCACAGCCTGAAAAAACAAGTTTAAGTCATATCAGAACTCATGTGGAAGAAGTATATATATTATACATTGTTCATGATAAGTTAGAATTACATGGAATTCTTGGGTTCTTCGTTTAGCAACGAATGTTTCCCATTCTTCAAGTGAAATCAGATCATCATACTTCTTTGGACGCTCTGATTCAACAAATTTTCCATCAGAATCCTTAAGAAACTTGTTCGTTAAAAATGCTCGAAATTAATTCATGTTTTCATCAACAACATCAACATCAACATTAACAACATAAACATTAACAACAACATTTGGAATGCATTTAACAACGTCAGAAAATGATACATTTGGTAAAAAGCAACTAAACTAAGTAAGCTAAACAAAAACTGCGAATACCTGTAGCACTTGTAGAGAAATCACCAACTTCTAGAACTATACAGTAAGATTCTTGGAAACGATCACAATCTTCACAAGTAACCCCTATAACAAATTAACATACAAAATTAATTCAAGTTTTCATCAACAACATCAACATCAACATTAACAACATCAACAACAACATTTGGAATCACATTTAACTATTAAGCAACTAATCAAAATTTGTCTAATTCTCATGTAACTATTAACATAATAAGAACTCTTTTCAAAAATCATATAACTGAGTCCAAAATGTTAAAGCTAATGCATTTCTTAACAAACTATTCAAAATTGTTAATTTTTAAAATCTTATTATAGGTACGAAATATCTAATATTGTTTATTAAGTAGTTTTAGAAGACAAAGTGAGATCTAATAATATCACTCAAACTCAACCTATAAATTTTCCTAAAACCAGAATATATAAAATGCAAAGTTATACCATAAACCGCTAAAAACCATAATGTTATTCATATTGTCATATAGAAAAACCATAATGTTATTCATACTATACAACCGAAGCATGATTGTTAAACTACTCCTAGTATCCATTTTTCTGATGCAATTTTTTCTTTGAAAATATGGAAAACTTTGGGAGGTAAAAATAATATAATTTATTATGCAGACTGCAGAGAAATGCTACTGCTACCATAAAGATTAAGAAAAGTTGTCCTTAAAATCTCAACACAAAATATCCTAAAAATGAAGTTTCTAAATATCCTAAAAATGAAGTTACTGTTACTGCTCTAGATTTCTTTGTCAATGAGATTAAACTAAACTATAAACCCTATAAATAAAAACATCAATAACAACAAGAACACAACAATAACAATGGTGAGAGAACGAGAGAGAACGTATGGAGGAAGCACGACAAAGAGTGATGGTTCAGTGGTGGGAGTGCCATGAACCATGATTCAAGCTTTAGAAAACCATCTAAGCCAAAAGTCAAACTTCAGTTGACTTTTTTCTAGTGGAAACCCTAATCAAGGCTATGCACTGCACTGCTCCTATTCTTTTGGTGACAATCTCAAATAAGCATTTGTCCTTGGCAAGATGTGAGCCTCTTGATGATATGAAGACTTGATTTGTAGAAGATCAATCTAAAACCTTGACTGATCAGTCCATAGGATCCTTTATTTTGATAGTGTAAATCCCTAATTCATCTGCATCTTGATAAAGATCAACTTAAAAAAGGTTAAGGTTAGGTAACACATGCTTGATGCTCCTAGAATGATGATGGAATCTAGGGGTGAAAATTTGGGGTATAACAATGATAAAAGTTAAAACAAAGCCCTCACAAATTCACTTTCAGCTTGGGCAGAGTGAAAGGATTTTTTGAAAGAAACATAAACAAATTACTCTGAAACATGAACAATAATAGGAACGTCAACAGCGATCTAATTCTGGCATCTTAATCCATGCATCACAAAGTTGGGAATTTCTTCCTCTTCGTCTTCTTCAAGAATTGTAGCTGTAGAATGATCTTTGCAATGTATGAACCCAACACTTTGAAAAATTTCATGAATACTCTTCAGCTCTTTGCGGGTTAAACCAGATGTAAAACCCAAACCAACTCTATATTTTTTCTCAACAACTTCAATGACTCAGCCCCATCTATCAGTTTGGCCATTCTCTACTACATGTTGTGTATCTTTCAGAGAAGACATGGACACCCCATTCTTCTTAACAGCATTATCAACCATAGAAAGAGCCTGGAACAGAGTTCCAATGTCTTCTTTAGCATCGATATAAGAAAAAAATGACAAGCTGCTTACCAACATAACATGTTCTCCACCACCAACAACAAGTTTACCATTCTGGATGAATTTTAACTTTTGGTGGAGTGTTGAAGTGACAACTCTGGCTTCATGGATCAATGGGCGTCCTAGAAGACAACTGTAAGCAGGACGAATATCCATAACTTGAAAATTAATTTGGAAAAAACACAGACCTATCTTGACAGGGAGATCAACCTCTCTAATCACAATTTTCCTTAATTCATCAAAATCTTTCACAATGACCCCACTGAATCTCATCGGAGTACCTTGATAAGACAATCT